CTTGGGTTCGAGCTTTTCAGGTTGAAGTTTCTTGACATAGCATCGCATCCCCAAACTTTTAGAAACGACAGCTTAGGCTTCTTCCCAAATCATAATTCATACGGTGTCGTCTCAACGGATTTCGACGGAGCCCTATTTAAAGTGAATGCGGCAGTCTCTAAAGCACAGCCCCAAAATGACAGTGGTAAATCGGTAAGAGACATCATAGATCGCACCATATCTAATAGAGTGTGATTACGACGTTCGGACACACCATTACGCTGAGGTGTTCCAGGCGGCGTGAGTTGTGAAACTATTCCACATTTTCTTAAGTGTATACCAAATTCGTGACTCAAGTATTCTCCTCCACGATCTGATCGCAAAAACTTGATTTTTCTGTCACGTTGATTCTCAACCTCACTCTGAAATTCCTTGAACTTTTCAAAGGTTTCAGACTTGTGTTTCATTAAGTAGATATACCCATATCTACTCAAGTCATCAGTGAGGGTGAGAATATAACGATAGCCACCACGAGCCTCAACACTCATTGGACCGCACACATCAGTATGTATGATTTCCAATAGGTTGGTTGCTCGCTCCATTGTTCCTGAGAACGGAGTCTTGGTCATCTTACCCATGAGGCATGGTTCGCACGTGTCAAATGATTCGTAATCAAGAGACTCTAAAAGTCCATCTGTATGGAGCTTCTTCATGCGTTTGACACCTATGTGACCAAGGCGGCAGTGCCACAAGTATGTGGGACTATCATTATCAACCTTACATCTTTTGGCATTCACACTATGAATATGTGTAGCATTACGCTCGAGATTCATTAAGAATAAACCATTCACCATAGGAGCATGACCATAAAACAAATCTCTCATATAAATAGAACAACCATTATTCTCAGATTTAAATGAGTAGTCATCTCGTATTAAATGAGATCCTGATACAATGTTCATGCTCAAACTTGGCACTAAATAACAATTATTGAGGTTCAAAACTAATCCCGTAGGTAAATGTAGAGGTAGCGTGCCGACGGTGATCACATCGACCTTGGAACCATTCCCGACGTGCATCGTCACCTCGTCCTTCGCCAATCTCCGCTTATTTCGCAGCTCCTGCTTTGAGTTACAAATGTGAGCAACTGCACCGGTATCAAATACTCAGGAGCTACTACGAGTATTGGTAAGGTACACATCAATTACATGTATATCACATATACCTTTCGTTTTGCCGGCCTTCTTATCCGCTAAGTATTTGGGGCAGTTCCGCTTCCAGTGACCACTTCCCTTGCAATAAAAACACTCAGTCTCGGGCTTGGGTCCATACTTTGGCTTCTTCCCGGCAGCTTACTTACCGGGCGCGGCAACTCCCTTGCCGTCCTTCTTGAAGTTCTTCTTACCCTTGCCTTTCTTGAACTTTATGGTTTTATTCACCATCAACACTTGATGGTCCTTTTTGACTTCTACCTCTGCTGATTTCAGCATTGCAAATACTTCAGGAATGGTCATTTCCATCCCCTGCATATTGAAGTTCATCACAAAGCTCTTGTAGCTTGGTGGAAGCGACTGGAGGATTCTGTCAATGACCGCGTCATCCGGGAGATTAACTCCCAGCTGAGTCAAGCGGTTATGTAACCCAGACATAGTGAGTATGTGCTCACTGACAGAACTATTTTCCTCCATATTACAGCTGAAGAACTTGTCGGAGACTTCATATCTCTCGACTCGGGCATGAGCTTGGAAAACCATTTTCAGCTCTTCGAACATCTCATATGCTCCGTGTCGCTCAAAACGCTTTTGGAGCCCCGGTTCTAAGCTGTAAAGCATGCCGCACTGAACGAGGGAGTAATCATCAACACGTGTCTGCCAAGCGTTCATAACGTCTTGGTTCTGTGGGATGGGTGCGTCACCTAGCGGTGCTTCTAGGACATAATCTTTCTTGGCAGCTATGAGGATGATCCTCAGGTTCCGGACCCAGTCCGTATAGTTGCTGCCATTGTCTTTCAGCTTGGTTTTCTCTAGGAACGCGTTGAAGTTGAGGACAACGTTGTCCATTTGATCTACAAGACATATTGTAAAGATTTTAAACTAAGTTCATGATAATTAAGTTCATCTAATCAAATATTCAATGAACTCCCACTTAGATAGACATCCCTCCAGTCATCTAAGTATAACATGATCTGAGTTGACTAGGCCGTGTCCAATCATCACGTGAGACGGACTAGTCAACATCGGTGTACATCTTCATGTTGATCATATCTTCTATACGACTCATGCTCGACCTTTATAGTCACCCAGTTACGTTGTGACGTTTGGCACACCCAAGGCACTCCTACGGTATCCGGGAGTTGCACAATCTCATGGTCTAAGGAAATGATACTTGACATCCAGAAAAGCTACAGCAAACGAACTACACGATCTTTGTGCTATGCTTAGGTTTGGGTCTTGTCCATCACATCATTCTCCTAATGATGTGATCCCGTTATCAATGACATCCCCATGTCCATAGCCAGGAAATCATGACTATCTGTTGATCAACGAGCTAGTCAACTAGAGGCTCACTAGGGACACATTATGTTCTATGTATTCACACATGTATTACGATTTCCGGACAATACAATTATAGCATGAATAATAGACAATTATCATGAACAAGGAAATGTAATAATCATTTTATTATTGCCTCTAGGGCATATTTCCAACAGCTACATTTTGATATAATAAAAGCGTCCTTTCTCGAAAAAACCATGCTATGCTCTGCACATCTGATCGGTAGGGCGACTGACTTGCTCATGTTTATTCGTAGGCCAGAAGCTTCTCCAAACAAGGCAAATATTGCCCTACATGCTACCAGGTCCATTGGTTTCGGTCGTATGAAAAGTATCACATCGTCCGCGTATATCGACAACCTTTGCTTCATGCCCACTATAGCTAGAGGTTCCAACACACCTCGCTCCACAGCTACCTCAAACAATCGCTGCAGTGGTTCCATTCGCATTCCTTTGTAGTTATATATGGTTTCTCCTGGATCCCCATTCACCATCACTTTGGTTGTCGATGTGGCCAGAATTTCGCAGATCCAAGATCTCCACTTGTGTCCAAAACCAAGACGTTGCATGACTTCCAACAGAAAGGGCCATTGGACCGAATCGAAGGCCTTCAACGCATGCAGCCTCCTTGCCATACACTGCACTAGCATGAAATTGTTGTGCAAGGATCTTCCTTTGACAAATGCGCTCTGGTGATTTCCCACTAAATTGGGAAGTTCCACATCCAGCCGAGTCGAGAGAACCTTCTCAAATATTTTGATGGCCCCATGCACAAGATTTATTGGCCGAAAATCACCCACATCCAACGCTCCTCTTTCTTCGGCAGTAGAGACACTAGCGATTTGTTGATTGCAACCATGCCCCTCATGTCCTCCCGATACATGCAATCCATAACATTCATGAAATCCGCTTTGATAATGTTCCAGCACGTGGCATAGAACAGTCCTGTAAAACCATCCGGCCCCGGTGCTTTGTCCATTGGCATGGCCTTGATCACCTTTTCAACTTCCTCTGGGGTGAAAGGCTCCTCTAGCTGCGATAAGTCCCGGCGTGGTAAGTTGAACCCATCTAGATTCAGCATATGCTATTGCGACTCACAACAGCCAAAAGCTTGGTCGTAGTAGGCGCCGACCGCAGAGGCCACTTCTCCTTGTCCCGAATATACCTGCCGGTTGTACCTTACGGATCGCATAATATTCTTTCGTTGCCTATGGCTAGCTTGCTGATGAAAGAGTCTTGTGTTGCCGTCCCCCTCGCGCAGCTGTAACAGCCGCGATCGTTGCCTTGCTATCGAGCGCCCAGTGAACACAAGCCCAAAAGTTCGTGCTTCAAGCATTTCCTCAGCTCCTGTTCTGCATCAGACAAACTCTTGAATCCATGCGACATCTAGCCGCGTGATTACCTCTAAGGCAATGGCAATTTGCAACTTCACATTCCCTATTCAGCGGTCACTCCATTTTTGTAAACCCTTCGCTGTGGCCCTCGGCTTATAGTAGAACGTGAGGTAATCATTTGAGGCTGGTGGCGTAGATTCCTATGTCGTTTGCATCATCTCCATGAAGCCTCTCGCCTTGACCCAAAAAGCTTCAAACTAGAAGCGTAAGTGAGTTTTGATCTCCACATTCATATCCAACATTAAAGGACAGTGATCCGAGACCCCTGTACCTAGGGCGGATAGAATTGCATTTTGCCGCTCGTTAGACCACGTGTACCGACGCCCATTCAAGTACAACTCCTTCAACTCGAGCCTATTTAATTTAGCACAAAATTTGCCCAACATCCTCCGGTTGATCAAGTCGTTGCTCTTGTCCTCTTGCTTCGCAATCAGATTAAAATCCCCGGCCAAGAGCCAAGGACTACGAGCAGCACCACCGCCTTCCTCTACCGCGTCCTTCGCAACCTTCCGGATGTCATCAAGAAGGTCAGGCCGGCACCGTTATGGGAGCAGCGACAAAAACGCGTCGGTGGCTCGTTCTAGCGACGGCAATGATAGTTCGGCGATTTATGGACCTTGATGTAAATTTTTATTTTGTTTGGTGTGTTTTGTATTTCGGATGAATTTTTATAATAGATCTATAAGAGCAAGCCGAATATGCCACGGCGGGATGGAATAAGCTGCGCCTTTCTTCATCTGGTGCACCGTCCGTCCGTCCCCGTCTCCCTCGCGACCAACGGATTCCACGCACGTACAAGTCGCCGGCATCCCAGCTGAACTCTGAATATTCATCCACCCCCCGCCCACAGGCCCATAAAAAACTCGTCGGCGTCGGCATCGGCGGCCTCTCATCGAACCGCCCTCAATCTCAATCTCACCGTGGACTCGCCGCCAAGCACGAACTGGCAGGCGGCAGGTGCCCAGCCACGTTAGCCAGATCCTCCTGCAAAGAACAGAAATCCCCCGGTTATTTCCCACTCCGCTCCACTCGTCCCAACCACGCGCCGCTAGCCAGCTGCACCCTCGGCCGGCATGGCCCGCCTCGGCCTCTGGCACTTTCCGCCGCTGATGCTCCTCCTCCTCCTCCTCCTCGGCCTCTTCCTCGACGCGGCGGCCGCGGCGGGGAAGGGGAAGAAGTGGGGCGGTGACGGCGGGGGGCTGCGGTTCCGGCGGGAGGGCGGCACGTTCAAGGTGCTGCAGGTGGCGGACATGCACTACGCCGACGGACGGAGCACCGGGTGCGAGGACGTGCTGCCCGAGCAGGTCGCCGGCTGCTCCGACCTCAACACCACCGCCTTCCTCTACCGCGTCCTCCGCGCCGAGGACCCCGACCTCGTCGTCTTCACAGGTCCGACCCCCACCCACCCATCCTCCTGCTCCTCTTCCCCTGCTCTGTTAATACTACTTCGATTAAGAAATCTGAAGCACGAGCCGCACTGGAATTGGGTCGGGGAAATTGAAATTATGACCATGCCCAATCGCTCATCCGCTGAAATGGGTCTGAATGATTGGTGGGTGGGTGGGTGTGCATAGATAACTTTGCTTTCAATCAAAGCAGGGCCGGCCAAAGACTTTCTTCTGAAAGAATTGTGCATAGATGATTGAACAGCAGTGTTTCCTGGGCAGGCGATAACATATACGGCGCAGATTCAACCGACGCGGCCAAGTCGATGGATGCAGCCATCGCCCCGGCAATCGCCATGAACATTCCCTGGGCTGCTGTGCTCGGCAACCATGACCAGGAGGGCACCCTGTCGCGGGAGGGCGTGATGCGCCACCTTGTAGGCATGAAGAAAACCCTGTCACGCTTCAACCCTGAAGGAGTAGAGATCGACGGCTTCGGTAATTATAACCTCGAAGTTGGTGGGGTTGAAGGAACACAGCTGGCTAACAAATCAGTGCTCAACCTGTATTTTCTCGACAGTGGTGACCGTTCTACTGTATGGTGGATCCCTGGTTATGGTTGGATCAAGGCTTCACAGCAAGCTTGGTTCAAGCAAACCTCCTTGAGTCTGCAGGTATATAAATTGGTGATCTGTCACCATCTTGGTGTGGTGTGATACTCACTCCTTACACTTTCTACTACCATACTTAGTAGGTGGATGCTATTTTGCTATCAGCAACAACACAATATTTATCTGTTGAACCATATTAACTCTGTGAAATGTTGTCGCTATTTACTCTGAAGACATAACTCAAGAAATTCATCCTATTTCAGAATAGATGTATATCTGTTTGCTGGCCTGGTAATGTTTTTCCGAGTACAGTTGGTTTCAAGATATTTTCCGTGTTGAGTTGAATATAGATATCTAAGAATACCAAGTTGTTTCCGTGACGACACTAGTATGGTAATCTCATTTTGTTGGTGCTATGCACATATTTTTTTGTTACAAATTTAAATAACAAAACTCACTATAAAATGCAGAAAAACTACAGGAATGAAGAACCCAGACAGAAGGAGCCAGCACCTGCTCTTGCATACTTCCACATTCCATTGCCGGAGTTCAGCAGCTTCACAGCGTCTGATTTCACAGGAGTGAAGCAGGAGAGTATCAGCTCGCCATCAATCAACTCCGGTTTCTTTACCACGATGGTGGAAGCTGGAGATGTGAAGGCTGCCTTCATAGGACATGATCACGTAAATGACTTCTGCGGGAAGCTCACCGGTATTCAGCTCTGTTATGCCGGTGGCTTGGGTTACCATGCGTACGTGAAGGCTGGGTGGTCGAGGAGAGCAAGGGTGGTGTCCGTGCAGCTCGAGAAGACGGTGAGCGGTGAGTGGCAAGGAGTGAAGTCTATCAAGACATGGAAGAGGCTTGATGATGAACACCTCACCACGATTGACTCCGAGGTCCTGTGGAACAGAGGCTCTAATGGTAAGTAAGACACACCTATGCATCACCATGGTGTTATTTCTAGCATGAACAATAATAGTACGGGTAATAATATAAAGGACTTGAATGAATATGGATCATAAGAGAGAGGGAACATGATAATAACACGGTCCACTGACTCTCTTGTGCTAGATAGTTATGAAATTGCTATACCGATTGAATGGACATACATTTTCAGAACCGCAACTTATCTAAGTGTCGCCAATTGTCAGGGAGGCGCAGGAAGGATCATGACAGAAGCTGAGTTCAGGATGGGGACAGCGAGTGATGCGTCCTACTCCTACCTCTGCACATCATGTGTGCTGTTGGTGCTCTTATTACAAAGTTCGCAACTGTGTAAATGAAAACAGATAGCAACTGTGTAAATGAAAACAGATAGTACGCCTCAGGTATATGCAGGTTTTTAGCATTGTAATTGTTCGCATCAAGAAAGAACAAGATGCATTATCAAATGTCACTCTCTGCAAATGGGCTTGGATGTCGAAAGAAAAGGTGTGCAATGTTTGTGCAGTATGGGCCTTACCGCTGTAAGTTTGCAGAACATTCCAGCAACATAATAAGAAATTAACAGAGTTCATTGGAAATTAACAGAGCGGCGGGCTGTGTAGTAAAGGGAAATTGATGCACTGCTGCATAGATGAGTTGAGCTCCTTTTCCTCGCGCTTACGGCTTGCCAATTTTTTTTTTAAAAGTTGTCTTTGGATCATGAAGTTATGTAGGTAGATGCAGTTCAACTGATTTTTTTCCGCTCATGTTCTGCTCTGTAACAGAATCTTCTTTATAATGTACAGTTAAATCTTTGGGGTGTGTGTATTCCTTTTGCAGGTAATCAGGGACTTTTATTTCGAAGCAACAGAGTTACAATCTAATACAAGATCATGAATGAAAGGGCTGTGTGTATTTAGCTAGCTGCATATGATTTAACCATCAAGATTTCAGCTTTCAAAAGAATACGGCTTATTGTACTGATTATCGAAGTTAAACATCATCTATACTTTGTTTAGTTAGTCAATCACAATCTCATAAAAAAAGCACACACAAAACACATGCACCTTAGTTTTTGCAAGCATATATTGCCATAACTGACGGTTCACTTCCACGGACTTAGTTTTATATCGTTATAATACTGAATTTAATGCTATCAAGCAATAAGTCCGTCCTTTTTCCATTAATCTTGACTTAAATAACAGTAAGAATTATTATCTTTGTTTTTAAATATAAGACATTTTGGCAGTTCTTACATCTGAGAAGTGAGAACAGAGGGCGTAGTTGCCAATACGTAGGGGTTATTTGGTTTTAGGACTAGCATTGCCACATTTTGCCACACATTTTTGCCAAACTTGTCTAATGTTAGTTTATCAAAATGAAAGGCACAAGTTGGCAAGCCTAAGGAAATCTTGCCACACTTTTTGTGTGTATGTCATGTGGGGCCCAAGTATGGCTTCCCTAAGATGTGGCTTGAACCAAGCGCTTAGCTAAGTTAGTCAAACTTGCCTAACCTTAGTTGTGGCAATCTTTGGCTAATTTAGTCACAAATCAAACAGCCCCGTAGTCTTCTGTAGGTTTTTATGCATTATATTATGTGCTTTGTCGACACTAGCTGTCCTATAAGCATCAAGCATGCCGGCGGTCCTACAGTTAGGCACTTAGGCTCTTCCATTGCCTTTTTTTTGTGGGAAATGAGAGTTACTTTAGCTTGCACGAAAGGCCTGGGTTGTATCCTCAGTAATAGCCATTTGATTAAAGAGGTCATTGTCCTAATTTAATACTATGCTTTTTGCAAAGGTTTAATATGCCTCTAACTCGGCATATTTTCTACTTTCATCCTTTTACATGGTGGTTGCTCCGCTCTCCTATTGCCAGACCAAATCCCAATGGTATGTCGCCCTTCTCCTAAGCTCGTTAGGAATATCATAGGAATAGAAAAATCATATGAAGTGAGATGGTATGTATCTCAATTTCTATAGAGAAAAAGATGATGTTTGATGCATAGGGTAAATATATATTTTTTTCATCGAGTCTAGGCTAGTATTTTTTTTTTCTGAAATGTGAAGGTTGGTTCCTGTCCTACATAGGAATACGAGTCCATTCCTATAAACCAAAGGGCTTCAAAGAAAATTTTCCTACAAAATTCCTATCTATTAGAATTTGTACAAAATTCTTGTAAACCAAAGGAGGCCTCAATATAATCATGTCATGAATGAAAGAAATTGTCAGTCATTAACTTAACTGAGACAATTGTTATCTAATAAAAGTTTTCCTTATATTGTAAATTGCACTTTTGATTGATGAAATTTCGTGCACGCATGGTCAATGTACTACAAGGGGTGAAACCATCCATTGGCGGAGCATGACTGAGATGTTAGGGGAGGCAAAAGGCAAAGCATGAATTTGTTAGGGGGTGGCGCATGAGAATATTTTCTTCATGATTTGTCTTGGGGTTGGGGCGGCGCCCTGTGCCCTCACCCCAAATACACACAACTTTACCCTCGGTACCATCTCTTTTGTCAGTACAACCCTGGCGCGGCTTAATTGTGTGAGGGCACTCCGTCTTGTACAACCTCATCAACTGGGTCGGAGTTAGAGACGGCCAGCACAAAGTCTGACAAATACGGTTGCTGATCGAGCTTAGCGACCATCCTGCCCAACGTTATGCAGCCATCATGTACACTAACCTTAACCACAAGGCCAAGGACGGATACCACGAGGTTCTGAACATCGCTTTTCCCAAACTTTTATTGAAAAAATGTCAACTTTTATTTTGGCGCAGTCTCAAGTATAAGTATATATATGTTCTTCCTAGCATAAGTGATAAAAAAATCTGAATCGTTTTCTTATTAATTAATTAGTTGTCAAAAATGATTTCTATTTGTGAATTGTGCATATACATTTAGCTTGAACTATATTGAACAAATGTTTATGTATACATTAATCTAAAGTTAAGATATGACTTGTATATTTAGCTGAAGTTATAATATTGACTTGTATATTTATGACGGAAGTAGTATTAGGCTTTCTTGTGTCGGTGATTATGGGCTCGTTATCATTTCTTTAGGGGGGAGATGGGTTAATGAGTTTGCCTGATTGATATGAAATGGGAGTTCCTATATTTCCTTTCATTAAGGTCCTCCCAAAATAATTTCCCTAGTGATCTGTCTTGGGATGGGGTGGCGCCCCCCCACCCCCCCCAGATGGGTTAGTGAGTTTGCTTGATTGTTAGGGAGGCAGCGGATGGTAATATTTTATTCATGATTTGCCTTGGGATGGGGACGGCG